TATGTAGTATCTACAAGTGAAATAAAGAAATGAAAGAAAGAATGAAATAGAACTAGTAGTCTGTTGGGACAAATCCAGACAGACTACAGTTAATTGACTCCTTAAAAGGAGATTATAATTAATAACTAATTTTATTATTAATGGTTGAGGGTTGGATCCAAGACCCTCCTTTAATCTTCTGTTGACAGAGTTAAAGGGTGAGTTGAAGATCACCAAACTAGTTGTTCTTATGGTCACTAACCTTGGGTTATTCTTATGGTCACCAACCTGAAAGTTCTTCTTAAGGTCACTAACCTGGGGCTGTTAGAGGTCACCAACCTAGTTTGATTTCTACTTGGGGGAAGTAGAAGATCCAGAAGGATGTGAAGGAATGTATTACTTACTTTTAATCAGGAACTGATTAAAGTTTGTAAGAAGTTATCACTAGTCTTATCTTTGTAAGACTCTTGATATGTACTTCTGTAGAACTTTAATATTGTTCTTTAAAAGTGTAGTGTAATAATTGCTTGGGGGGATTTCTCTGAAGGCTGAGAGAGGAGGAGTTTATATACTCTTCTCTCCAAACCTAACTGTAGTGATATTTGTTTGTATCACTACAGTGGTTTAGGTTTTAATCATTACTATTAGTTATGATTATTATCAATACTACATAATTACATATACATGCTATGTGATTTATGTAGTATAAGCATTTTAACTCTTGACACTGAGTTATGAGGTGTAATTGGTGTTTTATTACATATTACATATGTTTTTAAATGTATATGTATATGTAATTGATATTTGTATATGTTCTATTTACAAGTTACATGTGTTTTGTAAGCTATATACACATGTAATTAGGTTGGTAAGTGGGATCTATATATTATAAGTTAGTTTTGGGTACATGTATATGTACTCACGGCTGACAATAGCGAACTCAACGGATGGGAGGGAGTCTAACCATTTGCCATGTCTTGATGCGACCAGTTGTCGAAGAATTTGGACAATGGTTGTATTTGACTTTTCGCTACGACCATCGCTTTGAGGATGGTATGCCGTTGTTAAATGAACTTCGATGCGCAAAAATTTGTGCAATTCTTGCCAAAAGTTTGATGTCCATAACTTGTCCCGATCACCTATCATGGTCTTCGGCGCTCTGAAAATAGCAAGCCAGGAAGCAAACACCCTTTGTGCCGTCCTCTCCGCCGTATCCGTTTGGCAGGCTGGGATTGTCCAAACGAAACCAGACAAGCGACAAGTGACTGAAAGCAGCATGTCATAACTCTTGACTTTAGGAAACGGGCCAATGAAATCTAGAGCTATATGTTCCATTGGGATTTGCGGAACATCACTTGTTTGCATTCGTCCTGACGTTAATGTTGTCCGTGCTTTTGTTCTTTGACATGTGTCACAACGTGCAACAAAAGTCTTGACATCATTCGTGAGATTCGGCCAGAAGAATTCGTTTCTCATCTGCAGCAGCGTTTTCAAGGTACCTAAGTGACCTAATGAATTATGAGCTTGCTCTATAAGTTTTGTCCTCAGCCCGTCCAGATCAGGAATTACTAAGCGGTTGTCTAAGAAAATCAGCCCGTCTTTCTCTTCTGTGCCTGGTCGTAATGGCAATGTTGACCGTAGACGCATACAGAAATGGTCGAATTCGTATCCATTCTTGATCTTGGCTAAGGTTTCGTCGTCAAAAGTTGTCTTGACCTCACACGTTGCTACGTTGTCTACCCGCGAAAGTGCATCCGCAACTGTGTTATCTTCACCTTTCAAATACTTGAAATCAAGGTCGAACTGAGAAAGCGTCTACAGCCATCGTGCTTGTCTTCGGCTTAAATTACGTTGAGTTAGTAAATGTGTAAGTGAGTGATGATCAGACATTACATTGATCTTCAGTCCTAAAAGCAATAACTTCCACTTCTGAAGGGCGTTGATCACCGCTAAGAGCTCCTGTTCATGCACAGGATAGTTCTTCTCCGCTGGCGTCATTGTCCTACTCTCATAGGCGATTGGAGATGACTTGTCCCACTCGGCACCTTGGAACAACGCAGCGCCCAACCCATGGCCACTAGCGTCAGTAAACAGCCATACCGGATCCTCTGATTCATAATCCAATGTTTTCAAAACCGGTAACGTTGTCATTATCCGTTTGATGTTTTCAAAAGCTTGATCTTCGTCCTTGCCCCATTTAAAAGCTTTGTTTTTCTTCTTTGTGCTGGTCAATGGTGATAACGTCCCAACATAATGCGCCAAGCCATCAACAAATTTCTTCATAAATTGAACTGTCCCTAAAAAACGAAGCAATTGTTTCTGAGATGTTGGCGTCCTCCATTTTGAAACCTTCTCTACTTTCTCTTCGTCCGGGCAAATCCCGTCAGCGCTGATCTCATGGCCTAAGAAATTGATTTTCTTTCTGAATAATTTACTTTTCAAAGGCGAGCAGTATAACTTTGCAGCTTGCAACCTCTTGAGAATTTCCCTAACATGTAATTCATGCTCTTCAACAGAATCTGAAAAAACCACTACATCATCAATATACACTACACATGTCACACCAATCAAATCACCTAATGCCTCCTCCACGCGTGCCTGATGAGTGGCTGGCCCATTGGTTAGCCCCATTGGCATGACCATCCACTTGAATAGTCCAAAAGGAGTTTTGACCGCCGTAAGTGGAATATCTTCTTCTCTCATTTTTGTCTGAAAAAAGGAATTAATTTGATCAATTACTGAAAAGATTTTTCCTTTCCCTACAATTCTCACTGCCTCATCAATATTTGGCAATGGTGAGCGGTCTTTGACGGTATATTTGTTCAACTTCCTATAATCACATACCCAACGTGGCAACGCATTCACGTCCTTCTTTGGAATGATCATAGAAGGAGATGCGTACTGGCTTTTTGATTTTCTAATACGACCTGCTGCTATGTGCTGGTCTATAAGCTTTCTCCAAGCCTTCCAATACTTTTGAGGGTACGCATACTGCTTTTCGTTGATGACCACGTCATGATCTGTCAAAACAATTTTGTGATGAACTTGTGACAAGTCACTCTGACCTTCTGGAGGGAAAAAATCATCCTCTTCATCAGACTCTACCGGTGGTAGTTCATCTGGAAACAATTCAACAAATTCTTTAAACACTTGCTCTTCACACTCTGTCAAATCTCTTGACTCCTGCACTCGCTTCATGTTCTGAATCACACATGATATCATTGATTTGTTAACACGGTTTTTCATTTCAATTGCCACCTGTGGTTCTCTAAGGATAATCTTTGTAGGTACATGTTTAACAGTCCGCTCCCGCATTGATACGTCGAGGTGGTATTTTTCCAAAAAAGGCGTCCCAAGAATGACATCAAACTTTTCTCCTAACGGTGCAAGTTTGAAAAAGGTGGATCCAAAACGTAACGGAGGTTCAGCCGATGCGACATTGGCAAAGCAAAACTCTTTGAAAAAAAAAGGTCTTGCCTCTTTGTCATCAATCGCCAGGCAAACTTCAACTGGTGCTACAAGCGGTCGACGTGGAATTTTTGCTTGCCTTGACAGTCGATCCGCCATCAGATTTGTTTCCGCTGCGCAGTCGATAAGAGCACGGACGTCAATCCCATTGATTTTCAATTTCAGAATGATTGATTTGGTGTGTGATTCAGGGGCTTCAACGCACCTTCCATCCTCTTTTTCATTTGTCATGTGAGCCACTAATACACGATCTGCTTCTTCGTATCGAGCAAGTTCCTCAGCGAAAAGATCCGGTTTGTCTCCCACACTGGCAACAAGAGGCGTTTGGCCAGGATGTCGGCCAGCTGGTTTGTTGGTCGCTGCTCCTGGTTGTGCTGACAAACGGTTGCCAACTGATGATCTGGAGTTGGTGCCATTGGTCGGCTCTTGACGGCGATTTGGTCGAGGCCCCGGGTTGAAGACTTCTAGACTTGGTACTGCCACATAAGGTCCTGTTACCGGTCCTTTACAATCCGACTTTCCACACGCCGTTCGACAGATCCCGCACAATCCTAAGTGTCTCATGTACAAGAAATACCGCCAGGCTTGATCGGCTCGTTGCTCCGCTGTTCGAGGTGTTGGATTTGGATTGGTATGTACAACACGGATCGAAGGTACTTGGTTGCCAGCGTTTTGATTGATTTGTTGACGATGTGGAACTCGTGTGACCAAGTTACTTGCCACTACTAAGTCCCATACGTTGTTCGCCGCTGAAATGAAAGGTAGCAACTTAAAATCCTTGACTTGTAACAATCCTCTGTCCTTAATCCAACGCTGAAATACGTCCGGCGTTCCCCAAACTATGTACTCAGCCAAGTTCCTAGCAGTAAGTGAAGATTTTATTTGAACCAGATTATACAGATCTCTTGCCCTCCCCACGTAAGCTTTGAATTCCTCGTTGACTCCCATTTGTAATCTCCTGATACTCTTTTCGGTGTCTTCTAGCCACCCAGTTGGTAAGGTTTCAGCTGCTAGTTCATGCATAAGCTCTTCCCAGGTGAGTGTTTCTAAGTCTCGGCGTGAATTAGTGTACCAGGATCCAGCTCTCGGCTCGATCATGACGGAACCTATGATGATAAACCGTTCACGATCGTCGGATAGGTTTTTCAGCTCGAAGTATTGTTCTATCAAGCGTCGCCAATTGAAGAGGGCTGCTGGATTTTCCGATGGTCCAGTAAATTTTGGTACTTCAGACAGTTTCAAGTCACTCGCTCGGACTTTGCGTGCTTGATGCGAGGCAATCACTGGTTCTTCCGTTGAGTCTTGTAACTTAGGCTGGATATCGTTGGCATACACTTCATAGAACGTCTTCGCCGGCATCATCTTGTTGTTCAACGCCGGGTCGACGTGAGTCGTGAACGAAACTCATCGTCTGTTCTCATTATCGTCATTCGAAGGTCTGGAAAAGGCTTGTTGAATTGGGTCGGGTGAAGCTTGACTTGGCTGTCGTGGTAAGGTTTGTTCGGCCATCACTGGTGATGATTCTACCAAGGCTTGAGCCGCTCCCGTATCAATTAATTGTTGATTTCGGGGGCCTGCTGGTGTCGGCGTCGTAGCATGGTTCCAATACGCAGCGAAAGGGTTGTTAGACCCCGCGCTCCGAGCCGTATTGGGTGATCGTTCAATTGCGAGACGTGAAACTGTTCGTTCCAGAGCGTCGAGTCGTTCACAATCAACCGCTGAGGCCTGAGCTTTCGCCTCCCATTCAGACTTCTCCTGTTGCAACTGGTTTATCTTCAACTGCAAGGTATTGATAATATCATCTTGAGTCATAGCGTCGGTGTTCTGAATCTCGCTAACGCGTCGCGAGGATTCAGCTGGCGATTGTTGCATAGGCGTATGAACAAATCCTCCCGGTACTACAGGTGTTGCCAGGTGTGCTTGATGGAAAAATTCGCGAACTATCCGCGCGTCCGGGGTAAGAGTAGGTTCTGGTTGGATTACTGAAGTCAAAGTATGTGATGACGAGGGAATGATTGTTCGAATGGTTTTTTCGGGCGTGTCAACGTCGTCTCCCTCGATTGGCCAATTGTAACGGGGCGGTGCAGGTGCAGGTGGTGATTCAACAGGTTCAGATGATTGGAATTTTCGTAGAAAGATATCAGGATTTGGGCAAAAGTTGCTGGGCAGATTGAATGGCATAAGAGAAAAATTTGGTTGTCGTTCAAGTTGTCAGGATGTCAAGTCAAAAGCAAGTTGTCAAGAGAAGAATAAGGTTGTGAGGACCAGATAAAAAAAGTGCAAGGTCAGGATGAGCCCCGACCCCCGAATGCCGGGACTGGGCTGCCCGGCCCACCGACTTTTTTTCAAAAGTCAGAACGAGGACCGACCCCGGTATTCCCCGAGCTTTTTCTGGCTCATAGGTCAAGCCCGGCTCCCGTACCCTGACCCCCGACGAACTACCAAATCCCCGGGAAATTACGGGGATCCCCGAGTCCCCGGCTATTTCCGGCAGAAACCGCTGAGCACAACCTCTCCCAAGCGTGTATTTATCCGCTTTTTACAGCTTGATTTTTCCTCGGGTTCCCCGAGGAGAGTCACTTTCTTTTGACTCTCAGAACGACTCCCGGGCCCGATAATCCCCGCGGTTCTGCGACCCTTCGAAGGCCAGAACGACCCCCCGACCCGACGGGCTGTCCCGCGGGTATCCCCGATTTGGCGGGTCTCGGGGCTCATCCTGAGTGCAAGGTTCCTAGTAAGAACCTTCACCAAACTCTCGAAAGCTCTCACGGTGGTTCTGTAACCAGTGGAAACGTATCTAGAACTCTTGTCTGCGTTACAATTACGGTACTCAAAGCTACATAGTTACACGTATATAGTTGTCGTATATACTTTTTTTTGGTGGGGAAAATAAAACGAATATACTTTTGGAACCTTCACCAAACTCTCGAAAGCTCTCACGGTGGTTCTGTAACCACTGGAAACGTATCTAGAACTCTTGTCTGCGTTACAATGTGTCTAGCTAGCTCCAGTCGGGGTTTGTCAAGAACATAAACAACAATCAGAACAATGTATAAATGAAATAAGATAGAATGATAATAACTCTTACCTAGCTCCAGTCGGGGTTCGTGAAGAGAAGAGAACCCAACGTGGAGCCAGGGCTAGTTGTGAGTAAGCAAGAGCAACCTGTCTAAACCCATGGTATATGTATCCTTACAATGAGTTATGCCTTCCGCAGGCTTTATCCCTTAGCTGAGAAGCCTGAGGGAGGGCTAGCCCATCTGCTCAGGTCATCTCAGGCCCTCCAATGCTCAGCTTGCACAGTCAAGTGACCAAATCTGATTGAGCGTTGAGAGACCCAGATGAAAAAATTCTATCATATTGATTTGTCATCTTTCTCCTTTTTCTTTTCAAATTCATATGATTCACTTTTTTATACTAATCTCTTTGATTTTTTTGAATAGATACAGCCATTCCGATATTGCTTGTTGCTCCGTTTTGAAAAAGAAAAAGTTGAAACCTAAGTTTTTACTTGATAAAACTTCAAACTCAGCTGTAATTCAAGGCAATACAGCCAAACTTCACGTTTCAACCGGTTAAAACTTAGGTTTCGAGCTCACAAATTTTTTCTTTTCAAAAGGGTGCGACAAGCAATATCGGAATGGCTGTATCTGTTTATTGAACTTGACCATCCAGAAGTTGCTGACTGAGCATTTTGTAGTTTACACAATTATCCATTCAATAAAAAGCATCAATTTATTGTTATTTGTTTTACTGAAGTTGAACGTTACTCATTTGTACCTGATGTCTTTGTTCCGCCTGTACTTGAAGAATATAAACCATGTGGTCATTTTGTGAGTTGGCTTGCTGATCCACAAACCTGTGATCAAATGATTTTATATCAAGGTGAAGATGTCAAAGTTGCGAGGCATGGTAGGAATAATGTACCTAAAGTGGCTCACACTACAAAAATAATGCATTTTTCCAAGGTGAAAAATGCTTGAGTTTAATGCACAAAATGATTAATAAAGCAGAATTAATGCAGAAAAATGCAGACTTAATGCAGACTCAATGCATCTTTGATTATTTTGTAAAATAAATGTAATCATTTTTCACCTTGGGAAAATACATTATATTTGCAATGTCACAAGCAAACAGTTTGTAGACTTCTACTTCTCATGCATTATAAAGCTTCTGATCTGGGGAATTTTTGTGGGCATATAAATGGATTGAAGTGTACATGGCCGGGTCCCATGAGGGTACTATTCTTGCTACTACTCATACTCAAGGAGTAGCACTTTGGGGTGGAGATAATCTTGATTGAACTCATTGAATATACCATCCAAAGGTCAAAGTGATCAAATTTTGCCCTATGGAAAATTATCTTGTGACTTAGTCCGATCAATTCACTTTCAGTGGATTCCATGAAATCTCAAACCCCCCTTCAGTGGCATTCAAAAAATCCCAAACATGCCCAGTGAGGCCACCTTTAGTGGCCAACAGGTTTGATGGGAAGGCATGTGAGTCATTGAATAGAACATTAATCAATTGAGTGGTTGTTTTCAAAGTTGGAAATGATTGGTTTGTAAACTTTTGAGAGTTCTGTGAGGTAATGGGTGTAGAATTGAAGAATATGGAAGTTTGTGATACAATTGTGTGTTGAAGTTTTAATAATCAATATGTAACAATTCAAATTACACATTTCACACAATAGACATTTTAAAACTTATGTTATTATTCCTTTATCCTTTACTTAATATTGCATATGTAGCTTTGTACGTTGTTTTAGGTTTAATGTTGTTTTATCACTTTTCTTAACCTATGTACCGTTTGAGAACAATACTGATAAACCTGGAAGAGCAGCGAATGGAGTCTTCTTTCCTCATCCAAGATTTTCTACTTTCTTCTTGGGTGAAAGGTGAGTTGACTCCGTTCGTGAGATTGAATAGGTTCATAAGGTTCTGTTTCTGAACCATATTCATCCCTGCTCTGACAGGTGAGTTGACTCCGTTTGTGGGATTGAATAGGTTCATAAGGTTCTGTTTCTGAACCATATTCATCCCTGCTCTGACAGATTTGTAACATTGTGCACAATGGTATCTGCGCTCTTTGATTTGTGTAAACATGGAGAATTATATTCTGTATGCACATGCAATCAACTTGGGACTTTGATGTCCAAATGTTTCTCCACAGACCATCTAAAATTTGGCTTTGTCTGTGAAATTTCACTTTCTCCAGGGGAAATAGATTTTTCCAAATACCACTTTTTGCAAACATTAATAGGGCGGTTCAAGTCAAGAGTTGCGATCCACCTGCTTGCAGAGTTGCAATCAGTCTTTTTAGGGTTGTCCAATCCTTAAAAATACTGATTGCGCAGTTACAAACGCACTTAAATTTAGGTTTTATGACTTTGTATCTTCAGGTACACCGTCTCCCAATGCGCTTTTTTTTGTTTCTTTTTTAACGTCTCTTGTTTTTGTCAGGAAATATTTTTTTTCATCAATTTGTTTTAATGAAAGGATGTCTCTGAGGCACCCCGAGAGACTTGTGAAGTGTTCGATCATGTGATTATGTAGTATAAGACAGATAAAATGACTTCTTTTTACCAAAAACCGTTAGGATCCAGGAACACCCAAAAGACACCAAAAGATACAAAAAGTATTTTTTTTGCCTTTCGTGCCTGATTTTTTTCTGATGCCATGGTGGAGATTTATAAATTTCAAGACAACTTAGCAGATCGCAAATCGGTGAACCACCTCTAAAGGTGGTTCACCGTCTTTAATTTTTACTTATAATTTAAAGGCCCTGAACACAACGTAAAACTTAAAAAAGGGCTGTAAAAGGACTACTTGAACCGCCTTAATGTCTGCAAAAATATGTTTGTAAAAATACATGCTCCCATCTTTTATTAGGGGGTGTCAAGTTTGATTTTTTATAACAAAAGAAATAATGAAACAGCTAAGTTTTTATGTTATAACTCAAAAAAAACTTAGCTGTGGTTGTATAATAACTGGTAAACCATGATCAAGGTTTTTTTTACATTTTTGCCTCGATCATCCACCTGGTGAGGTGAAAACTGCTGGTAAAAGGATGCAAGGTTGTCCTTGCATCCGCTATCAAGCCCACCGTGTCTGAGAGCGAATCAGTCAAGGTGAGCTCTTTGATCAAATGTTGTAAACATAAATTGTTTATGTTTTACAAAAACGGGATACATAAACCTTCTCCCGTTTCTGTAAACTTTGTGTAAATTTATGCTACAGCAGGAAAGGTTTTTTATGGTTTTTACCGTAAAAAGACTCAAACTTGACACCCCCTATTCTCAACAATGTTCTTTACCTTTGACTGTAAATTTCCCCTAAAAAATTTAAATCCAACAAATTCCCACACTGGATCTTGCAACCCAAGCCGCAGGGTGGGACTTACACCTAACTTTTACACAGAAAAAGGTCAGGAATCAGACTGAGCCCTGAAACCAATGTCCTGAGGGTTCCCCAAGTCCCGAACCCTTGGGGTGCGGGCTTGGTCACCTTTTTTGGGGCCCCGTAGGGTTTGGGGGCGGAGGGGCCTAGTCATCAAACCCCCAATCTTATCTGCAGGAACCCCCTGCTTCACGCGGGTTTTAGGCATGTGGGATAGGGGTCGGGGGGCCTTTTGGAAGCTGGGTTTCAATTGGGTCAGGTAGGGTTCAGGCGCAGAGGGGCCTACTGGGTATTGGTTTGGGGTGCGGGTAGGCCATTACCTGTGTTGTTTGGGTTGGGGCTCAGGCTGAGTCAGGAACAAGAGTTTGGCTGGGGATGCCCTTGCAAGCCTTCTGTACCATCTTTTTACTGAGGAATCCTACCAGAACCATAACGAACATTGTGTGTGGTTCAGGTTGCCACATGCACAATGTACACTAATTTGTTTCCCAAGTAAGTTGCATCCTTCTTGCCTAAAAAGCTCCCCAAAGGTTGGCTCCCAACAGCAGACAGCACATGTAACTTTTCTCTTGAGCCCTAGATGAGTAGTTGTGACCCAATCTTTGAGGGATGTACTTACAAAAAGAAATCTACTTCCTTGGGGTATGCATTGTGTGCAATGCACAATGTTCATCATGAGTTTGGTAGGCTTTCTCAGTAAAAGGAAGATACAGAAGGCTTGCAATGACATCCCCAGAAAAACTCTTGTTCCTAAACTGTGCCTGCCTGCAAGTTGGGCATAAG